TATCTCAAGCTATTTAAGCAATCGAAAACAGTGTGTAAAACTGGGGAAGTTTGTAGCGATTTTTTAGAATTGTACAAAGGTGTTCTACAGGGTTCAATACTTGGTCCTGTTATTTTAAATATTTTTATCAATGATATTTTTCATTTTGTGTCAGATTGTGATCTCTACAATTATGCCAACGACAATACTCTCTCAAACTCAAGTGACGAAATTACATCACTACAAAATACCTTAGAATCAAATTGTTCGAACTTAGTTAAGTGGTTTGGAGATAATCAAATGCAAGCAAATCCTGATAAATGTCAAGCTATATGTCTCGGAAAGAAAACTAAAAAGGAAAACATTTGTTTTGAAATTGATGGTAATGTGATTCATCCAGAAAACGAAGTAAAATTACTTGGTGTTACTATAGATTTTGAGCTTAAGTTTAGCTCTCATATTTCAAACATTTGTAAAAAAGCTTCACAACAATTAAATGTACTTAAAAGAATAGGGGTACACCTGACCAAATCAGGAAAACTTACCATTTATCATACATTTATCATGTCAAACTTCAACTACTGTCCATTAGTTTGGCATTTTTGTGGTGAACGAGAAACAAGAAAAATACTAGAAAGAGCACTGCGGTTTGTTTACGATGACTACAAAAATTCATATAGTTATCTTCTGGACAAATCAAAATTACCATGCCTTAAACTCAGGCGTATTAGAACAATGGCCATAGAATGTTTTAAGATTTTAAACAAACCAAATATTCTTTTAGATACACGAAAACTGCTGTTTTACCAAAAACAAGATCAACAACATATGGGTTGAAGTCTTTTAGATATGAGTCTGCAAAACTTTGGAATTCTTTACCAGAATCTTTTAGAAATATTACTACTTTTGACCAGTTTAAATCCAACATAAAAAGTTGGTACGGAAATTGTTGTAATTGCTGTGCCTGTCGCTAATTTTATTTTTAGAAACTAGTAAACAGAGTGTAAGTTATTTTCGGTTTGTCAGTTTTAATGTGGTGAATACTGTGGCATTGTAAAACACCACGGAGAAATAATGATATTTAAGTAGTGTGGTGTGATGTAATTTTTAAAAACTGTTTCTTGTTTATTTTGTATGATTGTTGTATTTTATGTAACATTGTTATGTAGTCGGAAAATAGCTCTTCAGAGCTAATGTTCTTTGTTGATCTACCCGACTTTAAATAAATATTATATTATCTTATCTTATCTTATCTAAATTAAAAAAAAATCATTTCCGTGCCTTGTTTATGTATATTAGATACTAACAATTTCATTTGCTTGTTAAGTTCAATAACTTTATAACCCACATTACACACAATTTTATTTCAACATTTCTGTTTATTTTAAAAATCTATGAAATGAAATTATCATGAGGCAGACTCCATAGTAACTATTTATATTTATATTATAATTCTTTCAGCTTCATGGAATGTTACATGACTTTTCAAAAAAATTATAATTTGGTTTAAATTTTGCATATTTTATTCTATTACAGGTTATTGAACAATCTCTGAAAACTGTCAAGTAAAGATTCTAAGTGGTTGTAGATGCATGCATAGAAAGTAACGAAAAAAATCTGTCGAAACCATGGTTTTGATATCCAAATACAACACTTCTCTTCTCAGTTCGTAGAATAAGATTATGGAAAGCTTACAAGGTTGGTCCAGGTAAACTAAACTCTTATAATGAATCTTAATGAAGAGTATCATGGCATTGTGTACAGCTCAAAGACAATTCATTTCTTTATTTGATTAGAAGAGAATTGGAAAACGGTCTAGTTCATTTTATAAAAATATGATATTATTCATGAAATGAATTAGTAAAACAAAAATAGAGCTTAACTTAAACCAGACTTTTAGATAACTTAAGGTAATCAGGTGGCCAAATTATTACTTTTACTATTCTTATCATCCCATAAATAAACAAGAGACCCAGGGGCCACACCACTGTCCTGAGCAACTAGCTAGGTAAAACTAACATCAGTTTAGCATTGAAAAGTTGATTTTTTTATTTTATTTTGATGATCCATTATGGCTTTGTTGTTCTTGTGAAGAATTATAATGATTTTTGCTATGTATTCCTACATAAAGCCTTGATCACCCATTGTTGCCCCACTCACAGATTTTTTCTATGTTATCCTTCTCAAATCTTTGATCACTTATTATTGCCCCACCCTTGCCCCTATGGGTTATGATTTGAACAACTTGAATCTACACTAACTGAAAATGCTTTCATACAATTATGGCTTTCCTATTCTTCAGACGGATATTTTTATACTGTACAGGGGATCAATTTCACGGGTTGTAATTTTCACTTGTTTCTCTCATCTGTCACGATCGCAGTTTCTTGAATTCGCGTAATTGGTATATTATAAAACTTACATTCCTTGTCTACATCCGTTTAATCCATACCATAGGAACATGTACACGACATTAACCAGCGTTATCTCTTTATTTTACGAACAACAGGGTAAGTTTATGTAGAATTGTTTGATTCAATAAATAATTTACGATTAATTGAAACAGGTGCAGTTATCAAAAGTTATTGACTATAAACGTCAAATGAATTTCCTATACATATGCTATTACGATGAGTGCATGTACACCCAAGATCTTCAATACAACGTGGCGAAAAACTGGACGGTAATAAATGTGTTAAGGTAGGTCGAGGAAATAATATCCTTCCACATCAATAGTTATTTGAATGATTTTTTAAAACCAAAATGTCGATCAAAACTGATAACGCAGGTAGCAAATATACGTGGTAAAAAATTAGTTACGCACGAGTAACCTGCGTGTTTTGATTGATGAAAAACACGTAGCGTTAAAAACGGACTTTTTAACAAACACTGGTTATTATCTGCTGATTTAAATAAAAGTAAAGCGTGGTAATTAAATAATTGAATGACAAGTACTACTCGTAATTGCTGAAATGGCCATTTATTGCACGTACACGTATATAAACCTATTGTAGTATATTCTCAAATTTTCAAAGAAAACATTGACATTATTGAAAATTTATTCGCTGTTTCTTGAATTCACGGATTTATTAACACCGTGAATATAGCGAATATTAACACCGCGAGTTATTTTCCCCCTATACAGTATATTTCTTGAAAATCTGTAATACCCAATTGTAGCTCCAACGAACCTCCCTGGGTCATGATTTAAAAAAAAATGAATTTACACTATCAGAAGATACGGTCATATAACTATGACCAATCATGGCTTTGGTGTTCTTAAAAACATGATTTTAAAAGATTTTTCCTATGTATCCCTATGTTAAATTTTGATCCCCAATTGTGGCCCCAACCTAACTCTAGGGGACAGGATTTGAACAAACTTGAATCTACACTACCTGAGTATGCTTCCACAGGATCTTTCCTGTCCCTGTGGTTCTTGAGAATATGATTGTTTTTAATGATACTATTATTTTTTCAGTAATTCATAATTATCTCCCCTTGAAAGAGGGGATTGCCCTTCATTTGAACAACTTGAATCCACTTTATCCAAGGATACTTTGTGTCAAATTTGTGGAAATTGGCTTTTTTGAGCTAAAAATGTTAAAAGTCTAGGTCAGGTTTAACTTGGAATTGTTGTCATAAGCAAGTCTTTACATCTCTACAGTTTCTACAAATCACTACAGTTTCGAATCACACATAAGAATAACATATATATTTTTGCAGGAAAAATATGTCTCCCCTAAATATATCAAAAGTGGATTTTTTCAAATTCAAAGTTTAGTATCACAAGCAGCAAGATAGATTATGAAACAATCTGCCTAAAAAAATGAGAAGAATGGAAAACATCTACACGTGTACCAAAGATGATTGCACACTACTGTTCTCTATGTTTTCCCTTTCATTTTCACGTACAGTCTTATGTGTGATTGATAAGTTGGATGCAGTAAATTACTAAATGACATCCTGTTATAACATCTATAAGTAGATAAAGAAAAGAAAGAAAGAATGAAAAAAAATTAGTGAACTCATTTTTTTTTTCATTCCATTGATTTAATTACAGTCAAGGAAAGGAAAACCTGGTAAAAAAAAAATACAACATAAAATTCAAGAACTGATCACGAAAGACACAAATCGCTTGGAAATAATAAGATAAACGCTGAATAGGACACGAAAGAAAAGTCGCTGTAGGAACTGAATGCATTCTAACAAAACAGGTGTCAATTTATGTTGCATCGTCTTCTATATTCAGGTCTTCCGTTTCCAACGGTGGACCTTCTACTGATTCTGTTGGTATAGATTATTTATTCTTTTTTTTTTCTACTTCCTAGACGCCAACTTTGAAGCCTCATATCTTACTCATTTCTCAATTGATTTCGCTCAATTTTTACAGATACTAGAAGTTACTAAACTCCATCAGAATGGTGTCGAAAATTTCAAGAATTCACATCTGGTTTTGAGTTATTTCCCTTTAAACGAAAATTTATAGGCTTTCGTTTCCAGATAAAGGCTCAGAGACAGCTAAAGCTGGAGCTGAAATTCTTCTGATTTTAGATAACAGAAGGATTGGAGTTGTGCACATCGGTTTTTGTTTTTCGATATCTAAATTCAAAAAATGGTAAAATCTACTGATGTCATCAAAATACGTCCTGTGACGTCACTTCCGGTCAAACCGGAAGTAGTCCGAAACTGCATATTTTTGTCGGTTTAGACATGTTTTGGGGAAAAATTTGTCACTGGAAGCATGAAACTTAATTTTCCGTCCGTCGACGTCACTTCCGGCCAAACAGCAAGTAGCAAAAAATGGCTTACTTTCGCAATTTTCAACATAGATTTGGAAGATTTAAATCATTAGAGACACCATTTCTCTTTTTTTTTAATAAAAGTTACTTCCGGTCAAACAGGACGGAAGACGGGCTCGTTGCTTTGCAACGAACTTGGCTCTAGTTTACACGCAATATTTATTTTGTTATAACAGTGTTAATATGACAGGTAAATTAAAAAGGAAATATTTAACTTACGTAAGAAGTTCCTATTTGCAGGTTCGTTTTTACTTGTGCATTTAAGGGATATGTCTTGAATCCTGACGGAAAATTGGTAAATGCGCAGCAATAAATATCTACAACATCCAGTCCAGTATGAAGCGCCTTTCCTATCAAAGTTGTTGTCGGGTGCTGTGTGAGGGCTCTTAAGTCTGTATGATTAAATTTTTATCGTTTATAAACAACAATGGTTTTAGGTACTGCTATTGAAAGTCAGGGTTAGGGTTAAGGTTACCAGCTATTTTAGCTCCAAATGCGATTCCCACTCCCAGATGACCATTATTTTCCCTGGCAGCAATTACGCCGGCTAACATTGTCCCATGTCTGAAAAAAAAAATTGAAAGTCATTTATATTTAAATTTACTAATTACATGTAGATGCTTGTTAAAACAATCTGATGGTACACAAAAGTCCCCTGAAGTTAATATTAAAACATGATTATGTTCGGATTGACAATATCTATGTGTTTTTTTAACATTTCTTTCAACAATCTACTGGAATTCTTAAAACACCAATTGCACCCCCTTATAATCAGACTTTGTGTCTTCATATGAAGCAGAGATTGCCTGAAATTGTATTCGTGAAAAGAAGAAAACACTTGCTGTGGCCTTAATCTACCAATTAGATACTATAAAAATTGTGTAATTCGGACTGGATTTTCGCCCATTGCAGACATAAAGATCAGCTCAAAATAATTTGTTGTTTGGATACCTGTCTGTTCTGTATTCTCAACCGCTCATTACTAATGTTATGTATTATATATCTAATGTGTATCAATCAATTTTACTTTTGATTCAACCCAATCACAGGACGTTGCAATCCGACTTTCCGGATCGATACAATGAGGTTTTCCGAATCCATATCACCACTCTCTGAAACTGACGACGTAGTACACAAAAATGACGTTATTTTTCTTGCGCGTAAAAAAGTCACTTCTAGTTGTTATTATGCTCTGTTTTATGGATGAATATTACATGTATACTCTTAAAATCTCTAACTACCGTTACATACATGATATGAATATTGATCCTTAAAAAAACTAGATGCTGTCATGAGACAGTAATACCCGCACTAAGGTGTTTGCCACTAAATACACGCTCCTACATATTGGGCGACTTTCCAAGGAAATAGTCAAAATAATTCTATAATTTACATGTATTAATCAAATTGATTATGAAATTCTCAGACCCTGTAACTCAGAACGTCTTATAATTATTTTACACATGCTTAATTCATTATATACCAGTCTGAATTTTATTAATGATGTAAATTCATGCACGGATCTGTGGGGGGGGGAGGGGGTCAGGACCCCCCCCCCCCCCCCTGGAATTTACAAGGTTAAAAAATGTATACACTAAAACAAGGAAAAAGTTACAATGGACCCCCCTTGGAAAATGCAGATCCCCCCCCCCCCCCCTGGTAAACACGAATATGTGTAAAATAGGTATGAAAAGTTAAACATTTGCGGCAATAGAAGTCACCACTACCCCCACCCCACCTCCACGATATAGGTTTTTGACGTTAGGTTGAGATTTACTTTAGGTTTTTTTTTATTGTCAATTTTTGGGATAGGATTTTTTTTGACTGAGGTGGACCCCCCCCCCCCTGGAAAAAAATTCTGGATCCGCGTCTGAAATTAGATTTTGATATATGTTTTGCTCATAATAGGACCTTTTTAAATTTACTACCCCCCCCCCCCCCCCCCATCGACACCACAATCACACAGCACATACTTTTTGGAATAGGCTAGATGGAAAAGGTTTGTTAAAATTTAATATCGTTTGTAATGAATTAATTTAAAATTTGTTCTTGTACTATACATGTGAACATGTAAATTTCTACATTACATCACGTTGCGTCACCCATTATGATATTTATAGATTAAACACCATTTGGCACACCTCGGCCGATTCCCACTTCATCTAATAATGTGACGGAATCGACGAAAGTTCGCCAAAATGGCACATGGTTGCAGTCTGGTGTGCATTGGATTAATTCATTTTGTGTTATAATTGGATTTATATTTCATGAAGTTTACGAGACACAGGGGGTCGGTAAGTAGAAGTCAACGATTAGGTTAACGTTTAAAAAGGGTCAAAGATCATCCCATGCCACACTAGACGAATTTCATATTGTGAAATTATCTCCCGTTGTCGATGTGACATTCAGTTACTGCCAAAACTGGTGCGGATCCAGAATTTTTTTCGGGAGTAGGGAGGGGGGTTCACATCTCAGTCAAAAAATTCCAGCCCAGAATTTCGTGACAAGCAGGAGAAAAAAAATGAAAACAAATAAACAAACAAAAAAACAATGATAGTGAGGTCAATGTTTTCTAAGTTTATAGGGAGAGGATGTCAAGAGTCATTTTTTACTTGCTACAGTATATAGTCTTGTTTAAATAACAAAGCAAATGCCAGATGTGGGGGGGGGGATTCCAATCTTCCTACCCACTTCCTGTCCCTGAAATAACAATCTATTTTATGATTCCAGTTTAATAGTATATTTTTTTTTCCATTTAACTAATTATTATACATATTTTGTTTCTTGTGTTTATAGTATGTCGGTCTATAAGTCTGCAAAAATTAAATCCTAGCTAGCTTGCCCATAAGTTTTAAGTGGGATGGGCAATACATATAGCTTCTACATTTTATAAATTTATTTCTTGTGACAATTTAATAAGACCTTTTATTTGGGTACCATTAATTTTTACCTCTGATCGCATGACATGGGATACACATTTTTACAAGAAAAATACCAAACTTTAAACTCTGCCTAATTTTTGATCAGTAGTTGCTAGGGCTTTCATACTTATCATGACATATTGTATTCATTTTGAACTGTCAACAGGTATAAATATGTTTGACCTTGACCCTAGAGTTTGAACCACTTAAAAAAAAATTAACCTTGGCAATTAACTTTTGAACAGGAATTACTAGAGATTTCTTTATTTAACATGTGCATTCCTTGTGACAAGACTTTCTTCTGATACTAACAATTTGAACCCTTGACCTTTGAGTTTGACATATATTTGAGAAACTTCAACCTTCGCCATAGGCTTCCATACTGCGACATCAGTGTTTCACAAACACATCTTATCTTCATTATTATTTGGTGGTGTCTCCATATGAGGGAAGATGTATTCACAACAAACAAACAAATTACTAAAGAAAATATAAAACATAAATATGTTGGTCATGCATATCTCTGCAGAAAAAAAAACAGCTTTTCAAATACTCCAACCGTATTGTAACCCTTTCAAAACACTCATTTGAGCTTTTTTTGTTTCCTTAGCATATAATGTCTGTCATGACGTGTTGTCCATCTGTTTGTCTGAAAACTTTTTACATTTTTAACTTCTCTAGAACCACTGGGCCAATTTTACCCAATTCATATAGAAATATGTACATTTGTATGTCAGACTCAGTCCATCTGTCTCAAAAAATTTAATCTTGGTTATCACGGTCATATCTACTGAATGAGAAGAGACATTCATATCAAACTTATCATTAGTATATTTACCTGTGAGAATGTCATGTTTTTTTTTTTTTACATGTGACCTAGAAGTTTGACCAACTTGCAAAAAAATTAAGTTGTTATAAATTCATCATTTTGAAAAAGAAAAGTTAGGGCATTCATATCATAATGCATGTTTATTATTACCTGTGATAAGACCTTTCCAAATACTTTTACACTGTGACCTTGACCTTGAAGCGATCAAGCCTAACCTACTTTTCAAAAATGTTGCATTTGCTTATAACTTTTGATTGAGATGAGATATGACTCTCACATTTGACATGTACATAAGAATTCAAGGTGTTTCCCAGCATGCAATGTTTTTTTTATGCGCCCGAATTTTTTCGGGGTGCATATTGTTTTTGTCCTGTCAGTTTGTCTGTTTATCTTTTTGTCTGTTTGTCTGTTGTCAAGTTTAACCTTGGCCAAAACTTTTGAACCGTAAGAGATAGAGACTTCATATTTCGTATGCATACTCCTCTAACACATTTCTTTCAAATGACATCAAGGTCAATGACCTTGTGACCTTGACCTTGAGCATATTTTTGTATGCTAAAAATAGGTTTTTCAAGTGTTGGTCATAACTTTTGAACCATAGGAGATAGGGACTTCATATTTGGTATGCATACTTCACTAAAAAGGTTCTTTCAATCAACACCAAGGTCAATGACCATGTGATCTTAACTGTGACCTTTATACTGAAAATAGCTTTTTCTACTTTTTACCATAACTTTTGAACCATAGGAGATAACAACTTCATATTTGGTATGCATACCCCACTAATTAAGTTCTTACAAACAACACCAAGGTCAATGACCTTGTGACCTTGACTGTGACCTATATGCTAAAAATAGCTTTTTCGTACTTTGTTGACGCGGGGCGCATAGTATTTCACAAACACATCTTGTTACCCCTTGACGTTGATTTTTTACATAATTTTCAAAATATTTAACCCTCCTAAAAGATTATTAGGCTTCTGAGTAACATTAAGGAAGACTTCAAGTAAGACAGGGCTTTTTGCACAAAAAACATCATTTTCCGACCCACATTTGACCCCCCGGGGCAAAATCTAAATTCCAAAACCTTACTGCATATCTACATGACCCCACCAACCATCTCCCAAAAGATGATTAGGCTGCTGAGTAAAATGTAAGAGGAGTTCAGGGAAAACAGGGCTCTTTGTATGAAAAACATAATTTTTCAACCCCCATTTGACCCCCCTTTGGCAACATCAAAATTCCGAAACCTTACTGCACATCTACCTGACACCACCAACCATCTCCCAAAAGATGATTAGGCTGCCGAGTAAAATGTAAGAGGAGTTCAGGGAAAACAGGGCTCTTTGTATGAAAAACGTCATTTTTCGACCCCCATTTGACCCCCCGGGGCAAAATCAAAATTCCGAAACCTTACTGCACATCTACATGACACCCCCAACCATCTCCCAAAGGATGATTAAGCTACTGTGAAAAATGTAGGAGGAGTTCAGGGAAGAAGGGGCTTTTTGTATAAAAAACGTCATTTTTCGACCCCCATTTGATCCCCCGGGGCAAAATCAAAATTCCAAAACCTTACTGCACATCTACATGACACCACTAATCATCCCACAAAAGATTATTAGGCTGCTAAGTAAAATGTAAGAGGAGTTCAGGGAAGATGGGGCTTTTTGCATAAAAAACGTCATTTTTCGACCCCCATTTGATACCCCGGGGCAAAATCAAAATTCTGGAACCTTACTGCACATCTACATGACACCCCCAACCATCTCCCAAAGGATGATTAAGCTACTGTGAAAAATGTAGGAGGAGTTC